TAGACACATAATTCTAAATTAAAGAAATGCATATGTATTTTTTGTTGTTGTAGCTTCTAAATTATTATTATTATTATTTAATTTAATAAGAGTAAAATATTGTACTAATTATCTCAACTTTGATTGGGATGGGGTTCGAACCTAAGACCTTTCTTATTGAAATCAATGAGTAAATTAACGGTGAACTAACAGAAATTAACGGAAAAGATAATATTTAACGGAAAAGTTAACGAATAATCATATTTATTAAGGATAAATTAGAAAATCTTAAGGAAAAATTAAAATCTGGTCAATCTGAGACATTCATTTGATTAAAATATTTAACCACCATTTTTTCTACCCATTATAGGCCTAACTTTTTTGGGCTCTTATTAGTATAGTAGATAGGGATAAGATTTGGGTAAATTATTGTGTGGACCATGGTCCACACAATGTTATGTGGACCATAACAAAAAGTACATTTTTAATATACTAAATGTACATTATTTTTGTATTGAACGTACATTATACAATATAATGTACACTCAGAACAAAAATAATGTACATCCCATGTATACAATGTGCATTATTTTTGTATTGAATGTGCATTATTTTTGAACTGAATGTACATTATTTTACAGTAGACAAAATATAGTCCACACAACTTGTGTGGACCATGGTCCATACAATAATGATTGTAAGATTTGATTACCCTTATAATTAAAAAACTCATTAATTATCAAATTTAAATCAGGTATTGTTCCATTAATTCAACTTTATCCCTCTTTATTTCATCGCCTCCTTACTCCATTGGCTTTCTCACTACATTGCCTACTCACTTCATCGCCACATTTAAGATCGATTGCCTTAATTTTTTTTTATTTTTTATTTTTAAAACTTTTATTCTGATTATAAGGTCATACATAACCAAACATTAATATTGATAATCATTCTAACTTCACTCTATATTACTACCAAACGTGTAAAATACATTTATCAAAACCCATTTCAAGTATTTGATTTCGATTACCATGCTTAAACCAACACACCTAGTTATAATGTATATGTATCCGCCAAGGGCTTTGAAACTTTTTCTTGAAGCTTTTGGACATAATTTGCTTAGGAGCTACGGTAGTTTCCTATGGTGATTGCACACTCAATCAAGCATGGATTGAGTGCGGGCTTAAGTCATTTCAATCCATCAAGCTACTGCGACGGAAAACAAAATTGGTACTAAATATTCTTTATTTGAATAATATAAACTATTTAGTTTTGGTACTGCAGAATCTTATTAAATATACTTATATGTCACGATATTTTATTATCTTTTACTTAATAAGATTAATAATATTTTAAAAAAGGGTAAAATAAACCCTTTAATTCATAACAATAATATAATTGAACTTTTAATAGTCAAATGGCGAAGCTTTTAACATAACTTCTGGACACATGGACGGAGCCAAAGGGGCAGGGAATCAGCTGCCCCCTCACCCTTCCCCCGTCATATATATAATCTTTGAATGTATATATTTATATATAGTACATGTTTTAGTATTAGTATATAAAAACTGTTGATTATTAATAAGAAATGAATTAGATTAGTTGGTAGAGCATGTGTTTGGTTATGATGAAGGTTAGGGGTTCAAAACCCCTTTTTTGGCTCTTTCCCTATGGTTTTAACATAGTCACGTTTTAATAGTTTTTTAAATATTTAATATACATACATGTGGCAAATTATGACGTGGAAACGTGTTCACCATGCTTTGTGAACACGTTCCAAAACAGCGTCGTTTCCCCACCTCCCCCCCCCCCCCCCCCAAAAAAAAAAAAATAAATAAATAAATTTAGTTAATGTGCTGTTAACGGCGTTTTGCATTTTATGTTCAGATTATGAATTTACATTTATTAAATTATGAATTTTCTGTTATGAGGTTATGAATTTACAGTTATGTAATTATAAATTTTATGTAAATTCATAATCTCATAACAGAAAATTCATAATTTAATAAAAGAAAATCCATAATCTCATAAAAGAAAAATATTTATTAAATTATGAATTTTCTGTTATGAGATTATGAATTTACAGTTATGTAATTATGAATTTTCTGTAAATTCATAATCTCATAACAGAAAATTCATAATCTCATAATAGAAAATTCATAACCTCATAAAAGAAAATTCATAATTTCATAACTGCACATTCATAAATCCATGTCTGCATATTCATAATTTATAAGTGTTGAAAAAGCTTGCGCGAAGAGGAAGTGAAACCGCGAAATGTGAAAAGGAAGAAGAAAAGTCACGTTGTTAATTAAAAAAAAATTGGTGGAAGATAACGGTGCCACTTACGGGCACCGTTACTGTGTGGGACCGTGTTCACCATCCATGGTGAACATAGTTCCATGACATAACGAATGCACATACATACATATATATTCAAATTATTTTATCAAATTAATTATGTTTCATAATTTGTTATGAATATTTTATAAAGTTTCGATGTGTTTTATTTTTCGTCCATATCTAATAATACACACCTATATTTCTTAGGTAATTTATTTATTTATTTTTTAAACAACTCTTTTATTTTAATGTTTCACCTTTACTGGAAAAAAATTTCTGATTCCGTCCCTATTCCCCCCCCCCCCCCCCCCAACAGAATTCCTGGCTCCGTCCGTATCTAGACAAATACATGGCTAGAAGATTGAGACTTGAGAGCCCATGTTGTGTGTAACTTATGACCAGAAGAGGAAAACGAGTGATTTGCATACTATAGTTGAACTATGAAGGGTGAAATTTGTTAGACTAAATATATATCACATGCATAATACTGTTTGACACAGGACCGACTAACCTTCAGCCATAGTTCTTGATACGATTGAGCTATCTGGACTGCTGTAGAGATAACGAGTATTTTGTCTCTCACTTTACTAAGCTCTTTTTAGATGGTGTATGAGGTATGTAATGTGAGCAGTGAGAGGACTAGTGACCTTATATAACCACTGGCCATCATTGTGGTTGTATGTCTTTAGGTCTCCTAAACCCTAACCAGACTCCTAATCATAATGGTAGTCTAGCTATTAGGTTATTAGTGTTGCACCACATATCAAATACTGAATATTATCATAACTTATCCTAATGTTATAATAATAGTAACGGATAAAACGTTACATTCTCCCACTTGGTGCAAACACCACCACTCAATAACAGAAAAACACCAACTATAATGATACGTTCTCATTAACGCGAGTAGTATCCATTATGATCAAATGCAAACTGCCATTGAGCACTTAATTAGGAAACAAAACCCAACGAAATAAACCCTATGTTTATTCCAAGTCCCTGAAGTACATTTCTCATCAATATAAAGCAAATGAAGGTGTACACACTTAATTGAGAAAATGTCTGAATGCCAAAGAATTTTATTAAAACTGAATGTATATATACAAATTACAAATTGGGTGAAAGTCCCATTTTCTGAACCAGATCCTTGAACTTAAATGGTGGCATGCCTTTAGTCAAGGGATCTGCTAACATCAACTCAATACTTATGTGTTCAATGAATACAACTTTATTTTTGACATGCTCCCTAATTGCTAAGAACTTGATGTCGATGTGCTTAATTCGACTCCCACTTTTGTCGTTCTTAGCTAGGAAGACTGCAGCTGAGTTGTCACAGTAGACTTTCAATGGCTTAGATATAGAATCCATAATTCTAAGCCCAGAGATAAAATTCTTTAGTCAAACACCCTGTGAAGTAGCCTCGAAACAGGAAACGAATTCGACTTTCATGGTAGAAGTAGCTATTAAGGACTGTTTAACACTTCTCAATGAGATAGCCCCACCGGCCATAATGAAGACGCACCCTGAAGTTGATTTTCGAGAATCAACACAGCCAGCGAAGTCCGCGTCTGAATAACCGAAAAGATCTAAATTGTCCGTCTACCTAAACCCAAGCTTGTAACCTTTGGTTCCTTTGAGATACCTTAGAACCTTCTTTACAACTCTCCAATGGTCTAACCCCAAATTGTGTTGGTAACCCCAAAATGTTCGGCCTTGTACAGACTTGAATATATCCAAGACATCCAACAAGGGATGTTCTGCATGGATTCTTTCTCCCAGACATTGAATTAATTTATCCCCTTAGCTATGGGAGCAACGTTAGATGAACAATTTTACACATGAAATCTCTCTAAAACTTTGTTTATATAGGTTTTTTTGAGATAAACCCAGTATACCTTGAAACCTATCTCTACGAATTTTAATGCCAATAACATAAGAGGCATCACCCATATCCTTCATATCAAAGTTCTTAGAAAGAAATTGTTTCACATCACGAAGCATCCCCTTATCATTGGTGGCAAGTAAGATGTCATCCACATATAAAACAAGGAAACAAATTTTACTCCCACTCACCTTCTGGTATATACAGTTATCTGATAGATTTCCAACAAAACCAAACGAAGAAATTTCCTCATCGAACTTGATATACCATTGACGGGAGGCTTGTTTTATACCGTCACTACTATAAAATTACACATATAAGTAGTACTTTACACTACACCCCTTAATAAAGGTGTAGTGTATAGTTGAAACAAATAAGAATACACTACACCTTTATTTCAAAGGTGTAGTGGAAAGTAATTTTATTTATAAATAAAAAAATAAAAAAAACTTTCTGCGGCACCCCTAGAGAGAGGGTGCCGCAAAAAATTTATTATTTTTTTTATTAAACGATTTTCCGCGACAACCATCTCCCTGATGGTGCCGCGGAAAGTCAAGGGAAATAAAATTTTAAAAAAATAAAAAAATCAGATTGGCGAGACCACATTTCCTCTCCTCCATTTTCTCTTCTCAATCGCTAAGTCCACAGCCGACGCCTCTCCTCTCCTCCAAGCCTTGGACCATAGCCAACGCCTCTCCTCTCCATTTCCTCTCCATTTCGGCCGCCAACGTTCAGCCGTCGTCGCCCTTCCGATCCTCCGCCGATCTGCCATCCGACGCCACAGCCGAAGCCTCAGCCGTCCTTACTCATAAACTCATAGTGACAGCCGACCGCCATTACCGAACTCGACGGCGGCTCCCGACAAGGCGATAAGGTCATATTCGTAGACAAACCTTCAATTTCAAATCCCTAATAAGTTTTCCCCGCACAGCAGTTAGCTAAACCCTACTCCAATGGGGGAAAATTGGAGATTTTGCATGCTTTTGATTTTTTATGATGCATATGCTGTGTAAGTTTTATTCACTCTAGGGTGTTGTAGTGTTTCCTATTTTGAAATTTTAAATACATTTGATTCTAATGATGCATATGCTTTGTGTTGTGTTTTTATCAATAGCTTCCTCCTAAGAATATCCCCGCACTATAGAGAATACCAGGGAGGCTGATGAGAATGTCTGCAAACCTGATGATGAAGAGGTTAACTATTACCTTTCTAATTTGATAGGGGTCTGCTATGTTTCACACTCAAATGAATAATTCTTTTACTGACCTTGTTTAACTACTTTCTAATTTGTGGAGTATTTTAGAGTTTCTGTGCCACATGTTAGCTTCTTATTTTTACCTAATAAAATAAAGTGTACTTATTTCTAAGTTTTATATAATCATGTGATTTTTCAGATTGTTAAATATGCAAAAGGAAGGGATTTTACTTCCATTATTGTTGTACGCACTAATCGTTGGGAACCAAGTTTGTATTCTGAGCCATATTACTTTTGTTGCTTCTAATTTTAACTCTATATATTTCTACTGACTGTAACTGCTGTTCAATTTTGATGCTTTTTATTGATTACTCATCATAGGACTACCTGATGGTCCTACAGCTCATTTTAAGCTCTCAAGACTTGTCCTGCGGAAGGATCTCAAGGTGGGATAATAAGATTAAATAGAATGGTGGTATTGATTAGTTGTGGGCATAGGTAGTTAGGTGGTAATGGTGGTAGAGGTGTTAGTGGTCGAAGGTGGGCATACACACACATAGGAGGTGGTGGTGTTGATCATGAGTGAAGCCTCATGTAAGTTTTTGCACTTGAAAATTTTTAAAGATATCTTTAGAAGCCAAATTATTGAACATGTTTCATATCTGTATAAGTTCGTAGACAACTTTCAGACTCATCAGACTGGACTTACTCAGTCTTCTGGACCATTCGTCCTCGCCCGTATGTCTCTGTCTGCCTCTAAAGTCTAATCCCTTCCATTAATCTTCCTTCTTTCCTCTATTTTGCTTACTTATCTCCTCCCTCTTTTCTCTCTTCTTGCAGGAGAGTTCGCGGTGGGAATGATTGCAAGGTTGGAGATGACAATGTAAGATTGTATGTTCACTTCCCTATATATATATATATATATATATATATATATATATATATATATATATATATATATATATATATATTTTATTCCTTTTACTGATAACTCAACTTTTGCTTAGCCGTCAAGACTGTATCAAGATGTCCATTCAGTTATATAATTATGGAGAGTTGCAGAGTGTTTGGAAGAGATGGATGGGGAGGATCAATCAGAAAGGCCTTTAGCAAGATGTCCATTCAGTTATATAATTATGGAGAAGGGTGGATACTGGGTAAGTGATTTGGTATTGGATTCTAAACCCCGGCCCCCTCCTCTCACTGTCTCTGTGGATATAGTTAAAAGGGAGTATAAATAAATTTTTTTTTTAAAAAAGTAAAAATGACAAGAAATTTTACCAGGTGGTGTCGTAAATATGGTTGGGTTGATTGCAGGTTAATGGCGAAAGTTGCATCTGATTAGTGTCATAAATGGGTTTTCAAGGAGCCTAGGCAGAGTTCATTTGATGTTGTAAGTACAAAAAATGCCAACTTCCTATACTTGTTTTATTTTTTTTTTTTTGTTTATCTTTCTAGTTTCAGAAGATTCTATCAATTACCTCGATCATATTGCAGTTTGTGTCTGAAAATTTGGACTGAATTAGATGATACATTGCAAAGCTACAGGAGGCATTGCATTCAATGCAAAAACAAGTAGAGGAAGCAAATGTAAGAGTTGTCTTAGATTCTTGCATGTTTTAGTACAAAAGATGTATAGTTTAATAATCTGTTGTCTTGCATTCTTTGTGGAAATATACATGTGAAGCCCTATAGGAATTCTCTTCAAATGAATTTTAGTATTTGTTTTAGAGATCCACTGCAAGCATGACAATTTTTAGGACAGTAAGAGTACTTAATTGTGTATGTAGTTCCATACTTACTGTGCTCAAATTTTGCCTAAATAAATTTTCATTATGTTTTTCCCTTGACATTTATTGCAAATTATGGACTCACTTAGTAATGGCTTATATGTTTACCTTCTGGACATGTTATTTATTGTTCTAGCAATACTTTTGGGAATTATCTTATTATTGATCAATCTATTGTATTTTAGTACAGAAAGATATGTTGTATTTATAAGTATTTAGGGTTTATTATATACATATCTTCACATTTAATTGATTTTCTTGAGTTATCCTTGTATTGTATTGTATTTTGATATAGTTTACGTATTTTGATTTTATCCGTGTAACGTGTGTATATATATATATATATATATATATATATATATATATATATATATATATATATATATATATATATATATATATTTATTTATTTATTTATTTAAATTATTTTTAAAGGTAACTTTCCGCGACACCCTCTGGGAGGGTGTCGTGGGAAGTCATAATTTTATTTTTTAAAAATACATTCCGCTACACCCGCCCTATAGCGGGTGTAGCGGAAAGTCATAATTTTTTTTTTTTAAAAAAATAACTTTCCGCTACACCCGCTGTAGGTGTAGCGGAAAGCTAGGCACTTTCAGCGACACTGGATTTCGCTACACCTGTACAGGTGTAGCGGAAACCTTTTTAAAGGTGTAGCTGATGTGATTTTTTGTACTAGTGCGTATATGGATTTCTTAAGCTTACATACTAAATGCTCACCACCCCTAGAGGAGAAACCTTCAGGTTGTTTCATATAAACCTCCTCTTCTAGATCACCATTTAGGAAAGCGGTTTTCACATCCATTTATTGCAACTCAAGATTGAAATGTGCAACTAATGCCAGAATGACCCGAAGTGAATCTTTCTTTGATACAGGAGAAAGGGTCTCCTTGTAATCGATTCCTTCTTTTTGAGTAAATCCCTTGGCAACAAGCCGGATCTTGTATCTCTCTATGTTGCCTAATGAGTTTCTTTTAGTCTTAAAAACCCATTTACAGCCAATTGCCTTGGCCCCATTAGGCAACTCAACAAGATCCCAAACTCCATTGTCCTTCATGGAATTCATTTCATCCTTCATGGCTTCTAACCATAAGTCAGACTGTGCACAATTTGTGGCTTGAGAGAATGTTTCAGGAGCATTTTGTGGCTTGAGAGAATGTTTCAGGATCATTTTCGGCCCCTATGTCAAATTCTTGTAGATACGAAACATAATAACTAGGAATTGCTGATCGCTTTATCCGAGTAGACCGTCTTAAGGTTGGACCCCCATCGCTTTGTATAGGCTGCGAGTCAACTACCTCTTCAAGAACTGGTGGCAGTTCTTGAATTGGTTCAGTCTGCATCGGCTCAGAATTTTGCTGTATATCCCGAGTTGGTTCAACCATTGGTTCAAAATCTAGTTCAGGCGATTGCTGTAAGTCCTGAACTGGTTCTTCCAAAGGCTGATCCTCAACAGTAGGTTGCACAATCGCATGCGGGACTGAAGGCACGTTGCAGATAAATACAACCCCACCAGATGACGTAGAAGGTTGAGAGTCAATATGATCGAAGGAAGGAACTAAATCCTTAAACCGATCACTCCCACTAATCAAGTCATCTTCAAGAAATTTAGCATTCCTTTATTCCACTATCCTAGTAGTATGAGATGGACAATAGAATCTATAACCCTTAGAAGATTGTGCATATCCAATAAAGAAAGCACTAATCGTCCTTGGGTCAAGTTTCTTCTCGTGTGCGTTATATATCCTTACCTTAGACGGACATCCCCAAACACGCATATGTTGCAAACTCCGTTTCCAACCTTTGAATAACTCAAATGGTGTCTTAGGGACAACCTTTGTTGGAACACAGTTTAATATATACGTTTCCGTTTTAAGTGCTTCATCCCACAACGACTTCAGAAGCTTAGAGTTGCTAAGCATACTCTGCACCATATCCAGAAGGGTCCGGTTTCTTCTTTCAGCTACACCATTTTGGTCCGGAGAACCAGGCATGGTGTATTGGGCAACAATCCCATGCTCTTAAAGAAACTTAGCAAATAGACCAGGTGCTTGTCCATTCTCAGTATATCTACCATAGTATTCACCACCCCTATCAGACCTAACTATGTGTATTTTCTTGTTACATTGGTTTTCAACTTCAGCTTTAAATGATTTAAAGGCATCCAATGCTTCATATTTATGATGAAGTAAATACACAGGAAAATCTTGAGAAGTCATCAATAAAGGTGATGAAATATTTCTGACCAGGTATTGTCATGTCAGGACAACATATGTCAGTATGAATAATTTCCAACAACGTTGAACTCCTATTGGCACCTTTCTTTAACTTGTTTGTCTGCTTACCCTTAATGCAGTCAATGCAAGTCTCAAAGTCAGTATAGTCTAGAGTAGAAAGTACTCCATCCTTTACCAACCTTTTAATACGCTCAAGGGAGATATGACCTAATCTCTGATGCCACAACATTGAGGAATTGTCGTTAATACTACACCGTTTGGTGCCGTTTTGAACATGTAAAGAATTGTAAACTGAATCCTTCTTTAATTTAAGACGGAAAAGACCATTAGACAATGTACCAGTACCAACACAAGTAGAATAATGAAATAACTTGGAATCATTGGCATTAAATTCAAAAGAATATATGAAGGGTACAAGTCTAGATACTGAAACTAAGTTCCTAGAAAAACTAGGAACATAAAATGTCTTTTCAAATGTCAATACAAAACCATTGTCTAAAACTAAATTGCAAACTCCGACAGCTTCTACTGGTGATGCAATCTTGTTTCCAGAGAATATGCTACACTCAGTTCCCGACGACTGTCTCAATTTTGTCAAATCCTACAAAGAGTTTGCAATGTGGATTGTTGAACCAGAGTCAATCCACCAAGAATTAGTATTAACCTCTGACATATTAGATTCGAAACAAACAAAAGAAAATGGAACATACCCAAGCTTAGCCACAAGCCTTCGTTCCTCCATTGCACACCTGGTTATCAACTCATTGATAGACCAGTCCACTTTATGTGTGATGTAGGAAATCTTAAAAGGATTGTACTCCTGAGGGAGGGTATCCAATGCAAAACGCACCAAAAAATCATCTGGTACAATGATTTCCAACTTCTTTAATTGAGTCGCAATGTCCCTGAGTTGCATAATGTGTTTCCGCATTCCCTTGACAGTGGAAAGACGCAAATTTCTAAACTTCATTATTAGAGTTATTGCCAAAACTTTCTTTGATACAATGAAGTTATCATCGATAGCTTTGAGCAAGGGCTTAGCTTTCCTAATGTCCTCAAAGCAAAAATGAATTTTGTGGAAATTCTTGACTTAATGAAGAGCACACATAATCCATTGGATTTCTCCCATTGTGCGCGAAGCTGCTTGGCTTTGCCAGTGCTTTCATCAGTAACCTCAGGGGGTTCCTCATTGAGAACAACGTAATCCAACTCTAATAATCTTAATTGCAGGAGAATTGCATCTTTCCACTCCTTGTGATTATCTTCATTAAGGATTGGAACATTAATAGTTCGTGTTTGAGTGACAGGATGAATTGCTGTAAAGAATAATAATTAATGCTTGGTTAGAATTTTTGAGGCATAAAAATTAGAGAGAGATACTGAAGTACATAATATTACCAATGTAAAATTATGCGAAAGATAAATTCGGATGCTATAAAAATTGCCTGTGGGCTAAATTTTTACGCATAATGAATTTACCAAAACAGAATGGTGGAAACAGAATGGGTGCGATTTGAGGTTTTTTCCACCCTTAATGACAAAACTACCAAAACTACATGCCGATACATAATCCCTGTGGGCAAATTATGATCATAGTATGGTATTTCATCCTAATTAACACTACAAATATGACAATATTGTCTGTGAGCTAAATTTTGCCATATGAATTAACTACAATATTCTTGCTTTAACTTTATGTGAGTAAAACTTAATATTTAATTTTGATAAATTAAAGATGCTGTGGCTACTCTTTAATTGACCAAAAAAACACAATCAGTAGAAAAAAAGCCTAATAAACAAACAGATTAAACCAAAATATGATAGACAATCCTTAGGTATACTCCCAGGAAAGTTGGTCGAGACGAAGCTCGGTTAAAAACCAACTCCTTAGACAGAGTATCGTCGCAAGGGGACTAGTAGCAACAAGGTTTTTAAGCCAGGGCCATAGAACTAGTATTCCTCCCCAAGAAACTTCTCTAATTCATGTGTTCTCATTTTTGAAGTAAAATCGTTTGAGAGATCTAAAGAGTGTAGTTTCACCTATGGATAAGGCTTTGAATAGGGTAAACTACGAATTGTTTATGTACTTTATGTGCTTTAGGAACTTTATAAGAGCACGAATGGAGTAATAACTGAAGAGTGAGTAACAATATGCATAATCTAACCTGAAAGGCACTAATTCACCTAAAGGTACTAAAT